CATCATACATGCAAAATCATAAGATATATTTGAAAATAATTTTCGGACATTCTACAAATACATTTTGTTAGTATTTGCTCCACACTCTACAAAAATACTTTATAACACTATTTTCTCAACATTCAAATGTGTTGGATTTTGCAAGGATAGTTTTCGGGAATAGTTGTTCAGTGCCTCTATTTAACAAATGCGGGATTCTGGCACTTTTCTTTCGATCGATCGAGGCGTTGGAAATACAGTATGCAGCTGGCTGTGATTAATTTTGAAACAGTTTTGTTATGAGTAGTTTGTCAATTATCGATGTGCAAGAGAGACTCATAACATGATAATGTCGTGGGGTCTTGTCGGCGAGATCTTCCTATTGCCGGCTAGATCTCTGGTCCTGTGGTGTTTTCTGTAGGTCTATTTGAAAGATGGGGTATACAAAAGTCCACCCACAATGACGGAGGTTCAAGAACATATTTAAAGACCTTTTGGTGAGAGTTGCATGTGAGGAAAATGGGTTTGAAGCTTGCAGCCTGACCAGAGGCAGTCTCGCGTCCAGATTCCATGGAATCGACGGTCCATCGGCCGGGAGCCCGAAGGGTCTCGACCACACAGTTCTTCAATGGACATTCTATGAAGATCGAATAGTACGAAGGTTGAAAAGGAAGCGTTTTTCCGTAGCTAATCATCGAAGGGGAGAGCGAGTCCGAAGAACGATGAAGATACTCTTTGAGAGTCCGACAAAATTTACATTTTGGTCGAGGTGTATTCTGTTATTTTTTGTTCACTCACTTCTATTATAACATATTATAATAATGTTTAGGTTCATAAGTTAATGATTTTAAAAATTACTTTCTTGTGGAGACAATTATCCTATTAGTTGGTGGTACTGTTACGGATTGTGGATCATTTCTAATTGACAGTGTAACATGACTTCGTCTCGTTTCATGTAATGTTAAAGGTTTGATAAAAACAGAGATTAATGGATAACGTCGAAGATCAGAGATGTAAAAAACGTGAATAAAGAAACTTAAATTAAACTTTATATCGCAAATAAAAATCATAGAATGATTTCGTAACAAAATGGTCTCGTTAACATGTTACGTTTTGCAAAAATTTGCTTTGGAAATCGTTCCACGCCTCTGCAAATGCGATAATTTTTATCGGCGAATGCTGAAAAGTATAGGGTTTTCAATCAGCTTAATCTATAATCTTTTAAATTACTTCTTCCTGAACCTAATGTTTGGTGACAAATGCCGATGAAGCAGACGACGTATTGTTTTTTTATTTAATAAAATTAATTTCATCACCTATTGGAGATGGAAAATCCTTACGGTTTAACATGCTAACGAATCATTAGTGAAGTGGTCCTCTTAATTTACCATGCTAAATGCATTCGACTTTAGGGATGGATGATGGATAACAAAGGGGTGGTGCCAATCCATAGTGCGTAATCTGGTTTTCATGCTTGTTGGTTGAGTCTGAGACACGCGTATTTCGTTCTACATACGCTGAGTACGCAGCAAAGCGTCTTATTTTGACGAAGAGGGTGCCTCACTCGTCTACGAAAATATACGATTGAGTCGGGGCTTTTGGATGACGTCTTCCCCAATATTTGCGCGGCCTCCGCCCGCAAGTGCCCGAGTGGCGGCTCCCCGCGACGTCGCGTCGCCGCGAGGGCTGCGTGCTGCAGCGCAGGCGCTCCCAGCACTTGGGCCCGCCATCTTCCGGTTTCTTTCGCACGAGTTCTACGCCTTCCAATCTTCGTTTTTCTTTCTTCCGCTGTTTTTCTTTCTATTGTGACGACTTTCTAATTATCTTTTTCTCATAATTCTTTCTCTATTTTTCATCCATTTCTATTTCAATCCTCCCTCTGATTCTCATTTTTCCTCCTGCGCATCTTTTCCTACTCATATGTTCTTCCCGTCTCTTTTCCACCACATTAAAGTTTCAGAAAGGACCATTTTGTTCAGTCTGTCACTTAAATAGAGAATCTGCAACGACGATAATTACATATCTCATACCTCTCGCGTTTCCCCCCGAGTAGATCAAATGCCCATTTGCCGTGCCACCTCCTCGTTCTCTTTCTTCTCCCCAGTCGTCACCAACCTCCTTCATCGCATCTTCCGACCCTGTCACTATTCTTGTTTCCGCTGCCGCTTTGCCTCGCCGCGCGTGACGGACCGGGACTGGAACGTGAAAATGTTAGTTTGAATGGTGTGTGAATACACATGTCCACACTCGCTTTCACAGTCGCCGCAGACCGTGACCGTCACGGGCTGCTTACAGCCGAGAAGAATGTTTTGACGTGGCGCGAGGGGGTGTGGCTGGGCCAGGCCGGTTTGTATCGTTGGGGCTTGAGAGCGGCGAGGCGAGGCGCCGTGCGGCTGGGCTCCAGCCTGCGGCCTGCGCGCCGCCGACGTCCGGGCCAGCGACGCGGGCGGGCCGCACAAAGCAAACTGTTGTCTTAGCGTTCACGCCGGGCTACGAGTACGGTAGCGCGGCGGGGTAGTATTTCAAGACGTTTGCAGGATAGCGATGCTCAAAGAAGCGGTCTTGGCTACTGAATCTCCTGATAAAGCGTTCCGAGTTGTGCCCGAGTGAATCTGTTTCTTCATTCGCGTGGACTTGTAAAATAAAATGGCGCAAGAGTTATTTGTCGTAACGTCATACATTGCCTGCCAAGAATTCTTGTCAGTTATTTCTTGTGATAAAACCCTTTTCTCTCAGGAATGTGTTTCTTAAATGCTATAAATCATCGAAGAAGCACTGTTTTCGTTTGTGTCTTCTGGAGAGGTAGCCAGTGCTTTCTGGTTTCTTGAGTGCTTCTGATCCCTGCAACAAACCTGTCACATTTTTTGCTCGAGAAAGACGGTTCAGACACACTAGCACCCACAAGCGATCGAATTCTCAACTTCGAAGAAAAAATTCTGCGAAGACCTCTCCTTACAATGTGACTTTGGCCTAATGCATTATTGGCATAATGCGGAGGGCCAATTGAAAACGACAGAGATTTTTTTGTTTGTTTCGCGAATCGGCCATCGTGGAACCACGCGATACGTGCATGCCATAGGGGCTCAGACTCGATTATCGGGATAGGTATTCATTAACAGCATGCTGTTCAGGTACATCTTATCTTCCCAATTTCTAAATATTCTCAATTTCTAAACATTATAATCGCTATAGCGATAATTCAATGACAGTCTTAAATCTTCGACTTTTCAGGTTTGCCTAAAAACAAAATATGTGAGTAAATGTTATGAGAATAACAGTCCTAGGGTTTCAAATGTACAATCGCAAAAGTTCATGCTTATAACATCAACTTATAAAAGATGTGTCTCATCGTGATGTAGCTGGAAGTGAAAATGGAGGATATAATCTGTGCTGCATAAATATTTACCTTAGATACCGCACTTTCTTCCAAATTGTTTTCTCAAGATCCCGACATTTTGTGCGGCAGCTATGATCTTCGAAGAACGTTTGCGATGCGTCTCGTGTACTCGAATGTTGATTCCTTGCCGAATAGCCTGCATCTGGCGAGTTTTATTTAGCCGAATGAGAGGACGTTGACGAGAAAAGAAAACACAACGAAGCGCTCTGCGCGGATGATAGCAAGCCAACGAAACGCATTGCAGGATGTGCTTATAGTCGCCACGGAATGGAAGGTCAGAAATTTCCATTTAACTTCTAAATTCCTGCGTTTCTCATTATCATTGCAAATGAGCGGAAAACAGTTGTGCGCTGCGACAACTTCCTTGAAAAATGTAGACTTCGCATGCCTACGCTTCTTCGGGCGCATGATAAGATCTATCTATGAAACACGCATTGCGCGACTCATTGGTATTTAAAGTTCATTACACTGTTCTTATGTTACACGTAACTCAGAAAATATTTGATTCCTCGGTCTGAAAAAGAGATTTAATGTTTCTCATCCTAATTAAAAGTAACTTCGCGCCGATATTACTTTCTTAAAGCAAGACCATTAATTGAAAACATTTGGTGCTGTTCATTCTTTTATCGTAATTTCAGTGAGTGTGGTTCAGTCTTTGATCGTAACGCCAGTGGCAAAGTATATAATAAATAAAGAATAGAAAAAATATGACGGAGAAACAAATTTTTCACATCTGTAATGCATGAACTTGATGACTCTCCCTGACTTGGATGCCATGCCAGGTTTGTTTGTAACCCAACACACGATTATGGTGATAATTTTATTAACCAAATGCTGAAACGCAACTCGTGTGGAATTGTGAGGCGCGGAGAAGCGCGATGTTGGCGAACCCTGCTGGAGAAGGGGCGGCGGGGGCCGTGCACCGCCGGGCGCGCATTCGTCTCGGCCAACGCGCCTCTCCCTTTTAGTGGATTTGTTTAGTCAGCGTCTCTCAGCGCCGGTCGGTTCGTTAGCAATGGCGGAGACGCAGACGTCGCTCCAGCCCGCTTCGCCGGCCGCACGCGCCAAGATTAGCCCGCCCTCCCGCTCGCCCTACGCTCCTCACGAGAACGCCCTGGCTGCGGCTGCTCTGCCCCACGGGCCTTCGCCTGCAGACCGCCCCACCACGAGAAGTGCTTGACGGGAAGGTACCGGATTCAAAATAAACCCCTTGCGCGAACGCATGCAAATGGGCGTTCTGTCTGCCGTTTCTGCTTTACGGCTGTTTAATTTTCGGGGTGGTTGGGGCGATCCCGAGGGCGCGAGGGCTCGGCGGACGCCTGCACGGGCTTCAAACGCCGCAGGCGCCTGCTGCCCGTCGCCCTCGCTCCCCGGCCTCTTGCTCTAACGGCACTCGGACCAAAGCCTCCCGACCTCCACACAGTGGCCTTCACTTCGATTCAACGTTCTCCTTGCAGGCTCTCGCTTAGTACGTGGGGGCATGATGTAGGAAAGGCGTGTAGATCTACTCGTGTCCCGTTCCAGAAACATAATGATACATTTTTTCATGAATGTTTAGAACTTTATTTTTCAAAAATGGCACATGTTTACTGGCAATTTTTACATTACTTTATTTCTGTTTCAGGCTGGACCTGAAGATTATAGCAAGCAGACAATAGTCAAGGATTCGCACCAGCAGCGTACTCGTAAATCAAAGACCAGCACTACATCACAGTATCGTAGTGTTCAATTGGATAACATCCCTCTGCCTACTACTGGAGGACACGTCACAGGTGAATATTCTTTGCAACTTTGAAACTTGGTATTGAGTATGCCTTGGTATTACGGACTTATAATACAGACAAAATAAGAGAAACACGTTTTCAGTTTTTTCAAATACGCGATGGATCTTCAAAAGAGAAACTGCGTCTAATTTTAAAGATGCTCGTGATCTCCGAGCGCATGGTACGGTCTGCCGACAACTTCTGTTTTTTGATGTAATCTCGTATCATCTTTTTATTTTGAGGGAAATGTAGGTTGTCCTGTTTCAACATTTGCTTACTCAACAACGAAACAACCATAGAGCGCAGGGGCCGGTAGTGCAGGAGCAATACTAGAGTGCAGGGCGTGCCATCGGACGGCTTGTCGTGCAGCGAGCCGCGGAAGAGCCCTCGGCCGAGGCGAGGCGAGGC